AACTCTCTTGTCCACACTGTACACCATAGTTACTATACATATACATTTTGAACTCTCTTGTCCACACTGTACACCATACTTACTATACATATACATTTTGAACTCTCTTGTCCACACTGTACACCATACTTACTATACATATACATTTTGAACTCTCTTGTCCACACTGTACACCATAGTTACTGTACTTCCTTAGAAAAGACATTTTTTGTACTAACCCGTCCTCACACTACACTATTCTTCCTTACTAAACACAAATGCTTTGTACTCTCTTGTCCACACAGTACAACTTCTGTCACAGTTATTCTCATGATTTTTTATATGTAAATATTTCATTTCAATATTCTTACAGTATGATAGGAAAAGAATGTTTTTCATGAAAAAAGAATAATGAGGCTTAGTTAAATCGTTATGTACATAACTGAACAAAGTTTTGTTTATGATGATGACTGTTTTAGACCAATCAACTTGAATAGAGAAAGAAAATAGCTGAAAAGAAATTTTAGTTATTTATAAACAAATATAAAACCAGCTTTAAACTTATCACATATGTTAAATGAAAGCTAAAAGTCAGCTTGCTAATAATTTTGGTATGAACAAAAGCTAGTTTTATTCAATGCCAGTTACCTTAACACACTGAAATTGTGTGGTGTTTTCTAAATCAAAACAAAGATAAAGCTTACAGCTTTATAAAATAAAAGTTTATAGGAAAGTTTTACAAGAATGTAGGAAGACATAATAAATCACCAATTAAAACCTACAACAAAGGTTTTTAATTGTCTCTTAGAAAGACATATCACAATGAAATCTTTTTGAATTTTTAAAGCTGCAAATTCATATGAGTATAAAATATAAAATAAGATATTTTCAGAAGTAAAAAAACCTGCCAAAAGATCTTAACTTTCGAAGTGTTTCATCCAGTTTTTATTTTCTTTGTAATGCAATAAAACAAATCATACAATAATTAAGTCGATTTCTGTGTAGTTTAGGGCTATTATATGTTTTTACTGAGTCTAAGTATTTGACAAGAAAAGCTTTATCTAACTGTTCACATTTCATCTTTGTTTTATATATAACTTATAAGAATTAAACATTTGTATTGAACCTTTTTTGTGTATGTCTAAATATGGTTCTATGATGTAAGTTTTAAATCAAGAATTAAAAGACATAATTATATATATATATATAAAGATGTGTAAGAAAAGTTTTCCTTCTCTTTTAGGCAGTTATTTTCTCGTCTTCAGGAAATCTCTCTCGAACAGTTTTTAATCCAGCTGCCTTAAAGAAAAACAATACCTTGACAGTGTCCCAGGGTCCAGTTTTAAAAAAATCCAAAGAGGAACAGAAGAAGGTGAGATATTCAAGTTTCTAACATTTGTGATTTTCAAATTGATATGAGTAAACCACTATAAATTTTGATTACCAATAACATGAGCAGTTCATGGGACTACCAATGACAATACAATGAGCAATTCACCCATGAAATCAGATTTTCAGATAAATATGAACAAACCACTATAAACTCGTATTAACAGTAGGAGAACAATCCACTATAAACTTTTGTTAATACGAGTTTATAGTGGATTGTTCTACTGTTAATACTGGTTTATAGTAGATTGTTCTACTACTGTTAATACGAGTTTATAGTGGATTGTTCTCCTATTGTTAATACGAGTTTATAGTGGATTGTTCTACTGTTAATACTGGTTTATAGTAGATTGTTCTACTACTGTTAATACTAGGAGAACAATCCACTATAAACTCGTATTAACAGTAGTAGAACAATCCACTATAAACTCGTATTAACAGTAGGAGTACAGTCCACTATAAACTCGTATTAACAGTAGTAGAACAATCCACTATAAACTGGTATTAACAGTAGGAGAACAATCCACTATAAACTGGTATTAACAGTAGGAGAACAATCCACCCTTAAACTGAGATTACGAGATAGGTGTTAAGCTCTGTGTCTGTATATTTCTTCTTAACTCACTCTATATGGGATTGGTTATTTTTTACAACCTTATAATGTTGTAACTGTATCTTCATGAAATTTGGCATGAAGTTTGTTTTTGTTAAGTATTCTTTATTTTTACTCCCAAGTTCTTAGAATTAAAATTATCTTTTATGTACCTTTTTATTTAGGTCCAAAAAATGATATATACATAGTTATTAACCACGTATATAGTCTCTAATAGTTTCCTAAACTCATTCTTAACTCTTCCAAACAACTTTTTGAATTAGAGGTCTCTAATACAAGTAGTTTCATTAAACTTATTGTATTTACAGTTCTAACATCTTCACTATGTTACATATGATGTGTTAGGCCATATATAAAACACTCAATCTTTAAAAACTCCAAGTTTATAATGTTTTTAGTCATTTCTTGTATATCATGTTTATAGAATTTAGAATATTTCTCAGTTGGGTGGAACTCCCATTTTTCTAGCTTTATAATCTCAGTTTTGAAAATATTGATTGGAGTGTTCATGTAATATTTAATTCTGGTCAGTGAAAGATCCGTTTGTTTCATTCAGTGAGCCCCCCCAGTGGTACAGCGGTATGTCTGCGGACTTAGAACGCTAGAATCCGGGTTTCGATACCCGTGGTGGGCAGAGCACAGATAGCCTATTGTGTAGCTTTGTGCTTAGTTACAAACAAACAAACATTCAGTGAACTAATGCAAAGTAGTAAATGTGAGAAGATTGACGTTTGAAGTCTTATAAGTTCAGGAGTTATGAATTTGTTCTATTTGTCGTTAGTATACAGGTAGTAGTTTCTATTGTATTAAAAGTTTTCAGTAAGCTTGAACTGTTGGCTTCAAGTTTTTATGTCTCATTAACAGTCCCAATGTACTTTCAGGAATCTTTTGTTAAGAAAATGGAAGTCCAGAAGAAACGAGAAGAGCTGTTGAATAGTTACTTCCAAGAACAGAAGGTATTACCCCAAATTATCTGTTGTGAATAAGTCTATTTAACACTTTATCGACAGGCATCTTTTTCTGTACATGTCACAAAGTTTTAGTGAGTTACGTTCAAAATTTAATTAAAGTACTTTCTTACCATGGAATGTGAATACATTTGGCATAAAACATAGCTAATAATCCAAATTTTAATATTATATAAGTTTTAAGATCTTAATTTTATAAGGCAATATTAAAATAAAATCCTGAATTTTCCCTAGTATGACAATAGTGACATTTACTCTCCAGTTATTCTCTATTCTCTAATTTTGCCAGCCCTCTGAGAAGTACAAAATGTACGGTATGTTCTATATGGTACTTAATGCAGCTTTAGTTAGAACCGACTTTCACATAATGAGGCAGAGCTGAACCCTTAATATCCAACATAATACCACTCACAAACACTAGATAATAATATTTCTAACCTCCAAATTAAAACTGAACTTATCACTAGGAATTAAAACATCAAAAGGAACTTTTGGGCTGTCCTAGGTCCCAATATATGAAACTGGTCTAAAGAAACCAGAAGAGCCTACAAATTCTGTGATGCATCATAGACCATCTTGAGGCACTACATATTTGTATTATTTATTGCTAGAATGATCAGTAAACACTAAACTTTTGCCACTCTAACCATCTCGTTACAGGCAGGTCTAAGTACGCATGTCACAACATTAAAAAGTTACATTCAAAATATAATTAAACTACTTTATTGTGATGGTATATGAATAAACCTGACATGAAAAAGATATTTAATAATTCAAGAGTTTAATGGTATACAAGTTTTAAATTCTTAATTTTATAAGGAAATATTTTTTAAAATCTTCTATTTTACCCTAGTTTGAAAATTGTGACATTTGCTTTCTAGGTATCCCCTCTATCCTAATTTATTTACCATTCTTTGAGAAGTATGGGATTTAACATAAATTCCTCATTGTAATGTTATTACTCAGCAAAGAATATTTTATATAGCCTTCAATCTTATTTGGTTACAGAGCCATAAAATGGAAAATCAGAACTCACTTGCCATGCCCACCTGTCACATCCTCTCTTTCACAAATTGCTAATAGTTCTTTCTGACATTTAATGCTATGTTATTTATAACCAGTAGAAAGCCAAGATTTCAATTTAATAAATGACATATTATATTATGTTGTTTTCTGTACAGAGAATTGTCTATTTCACTTCCAGTGTAAACTTTATTCCCACAGAAAACACATTGACGAGTTTAACTGAATTTTTAATGGCTCTTCTTGCATAGTTAGAAAGCCAGAAGAATTGTGATAGTTATGGGACATTGTCTGCTTTTTGTGTATTATTATTCTATGTTCTTTGGTGCATTATTTAATTAATGTAATTGGGGTAACTTGAGTTACATTGGGAACTCTGTAAATCGAGAATGGCCTTTGAACCCTTCAATGGAGCTCAGATATTTTAGGCTTGATCCTCATAATGAGTAGTGTGAATTTAAGGGTATTTGTAATTAAACCCTTGTTAAAATGGTTTGATATTCACCATAATGAGTAGTGTGAATTTTAAGAGTATATGTGATTAATCCTTATGTAAGTAGCTTATAATATTCATCATAATAGTAGTGTGAATTTTAAGAGTATCTGTGATTAATCCTTATGTAAGTAGCTTATAATATTCATCATAATGAGTAGTGTGAATTTTAAGAGTATCTGTGATTAATCCTTATGTAAGTAGCTTATAATATTCACCATAATGAGTAGTGTGAATTTTAAGAGTATATGTGATTAATCCTTATGTAAGTAGCTTATAATATTCATCATAATAAGTAGTGTGAATTTTAAGAGTAACAGTTTATACAGTTTATAATATTCATAATG